TGATTTGCACAGCCTGACATGCATGCTCATTCTGCTCTCACTCCCAGTGACTTTGTTTTAGCACACTCACACCTGGTACCACTCAGAAAAAAAATTACTTTCAACAAGTGTATAAACTGTATATTGGTAAGCTAGTCTCACAGTAGTCACTGAGTCAGGCTAAGCAATTTATTTATTTTTCCTGACACCATAGTCCACAAAAATAGTTATCTTCCTCCAAACAGTTCACAAACAAAAAAAAAAAAAGATAACAAACTACCTTTAAGATCCAGCCCATATGGCAGGAAAAACTTTTGCATCCGTAATAAAGAACTGGACCAAGCATTTCCGGGCTCTCTCAAATATGTTCAGCCATATCACAATTTGATTTTTTGAAGTTCTTCAGTTATTGCAGTTTGGTCTGAAACAAATCCCCAAGCCTATAATTTTGTGCTAGGAAACTAATATCTGCTACAATAGACTAATATTTCTTTGATCATACACTGAATACACAGATCTTCACAATGCTGCTTTTTTTGTAAATCTACACATGCCTGCATAATGTTGCTGGAACATGTCCTTCAGAACTTTCAAGGTCAAACTAATTTTGGCTTGAGCCTCTTATTTCTGTACAGAACAATTATGCTGCAGAGTAATGACAGTAAAAAGAGGGCCAGGGTAGCAGCAGGAGATGGAAGGAGGGGCACAATACAAAAAAAAATCATGGCCTAAATCATAGAATAGTGTCCTGTCATTGCCAACCTTAACTATTGTGCAGCCAGAGACAAAAAAAAACATAATTGTTATTATTAATATAAACATTAAAATTTAATAACAATGAAAATTAAATTAAAAACAAACCACTGAGGACGTTTTATTCTGATATTGTTCTTTTTTATTATAATCTTTTAGGACTGTGGTTTTTGTTGCTATTTTTAATAAAAAGAAGAGATGTTACCCAGTGATCAGTTTATGTGCTGGTTTTACAATTATGGGACTCCTGCCTACCCACTATGCCACTGTCTGCACAATTTAGATTGCCTGCTCTCTACATTGACCGGGGGTACCCAAAATGTGTTTGTAGAAAAACAACTTCCATAGGGTTTTGTCATTCTAAAGACTCCTCAAGGCATGCAAAGCATAATGGGAGTTGTAGTTTTACAACATATGGGAATCTACCTTTTGGGCACCCCTGATATAGACCATTCTGCCCGTTTTAGACCCATGATATAGACCATTCTGCCCATTTTATCTCAGGATCCAGTCTCTGTCCTGAGACTCTTCTGCTCACTTCACACCACAATGCTCACTCCAAACATTTTCTTCAGCTCATTTCAGATTATTTAACTTTTTATTTTTTTAATTTCACATTCTTTATTTATGACTGTTACAGTATACAGAAATCCAGTATTTTGAAGTAATCTCAATAGAGGCAGAGTTATACATGATAATTAGCAATACCCAGAAAAAAAACATTAATGTAATTGTGTTGAGATAAACCTCAGATTGAGCGCTTGTATCCACACTGCCAGGTATTTTAC